GAAGATTATTTTATATGTTAATCCCAGGTCCCTCTCCTTCCCCTCCTCCCCTGCCCCCTACACCAACTAATACCCTACCTATCTCATACCCTATCTGCTCCCCAGGGAGGGTGAGGCCTTTTGTAGGAGGTCTTCAAAGTCTGTCATATCCTTTGGGATAGGGCCTAGGCCAAACCCCTTGTGTTTGCTCAGGGAGTAACCCTCCATGTGGGATGGGCTCCCAGTGAGAAAATTATTTCTTAAAAACAATATTTATAAGAAACAATAAATATTGATGGAATCTCTGCAATTACAAATTCTAGCTCATCCAACAAGGTGTAGAGTTCTAACTGCTTAATTAGGACATCTACTCAAATTAATTAAAAATGTAAAATAAAAGAAAAATTAAAATTCAACAAAAAATTTAAATTGTTATTATCAGAAATTTTCTTTACTTACTTCGGAAGTGTGCAGATAGGTGGTTTGGATCGAATAATTTCCTTGTTTGTAAGCTCCTTCTCCAGGTCACCTCCAGCCAAACACCACAGGTAGTAAACCTCCTCAATAGATCTCTCTGCCAGGTGATCACTGTCTGTATCTTCTAATGGGAAAATGTTTAAAATTACCATTACAGTTTCCACCTGTAGTAATTGCCTATAGCGATAAGGGCTGGCATTCTAATAAGCAAAGGTTATGACTTCTGTACGTTAGGGCTTTGCAAGTTGCTACTCCACCTAACAATATAACAAAGAGACTGAAAATCAGGAGTTTTTGAAGAATCTTGAGAAATCAGTGGCATGCAGGCAAACTCCTGCCCACAAGACTGGAGAAGCAGACAGGGGAATGCAAGGAGCCACAGAACAGAACAAAGTCTCAGGAACCAGAACTGGAATGGTAAAAGCTGAACTACAATTGAAAAGTCCTGCAGGCTCAGTGTGGGCAAGTCAGAGTTTCACATTCCAGGGGGTGCAGTCATAAGGGGACACTGGCATTTCTATGAGTTTTATCACTAGAAGCCTGACTAGTTCTTCACAGGAAATATTAGAGAAAACTGGCCTGTGCTTCTGGCAATGGGAGAGAAAACAGAACAATTTGAAATAGGTCAGAGGACTCCTTTTTTCCTTACATGGCTAGTCCTCAGAAGTCAGTCAGTGCCTAAGTGACCTGGGAGGAGGGAATACCTCCTATGAGATGGTGTGGCAAGAAGGAAGGAAAGCATCCTGTGGTCCTAACAAGCAGGTTGCATATTTTAATGAGCTGCACCTCTGGACAGTGCTGGGCTGTACACAGTCTTCCTGCCCACAGTGAAGCAGGAAGACTAGGAAAAACTGGAGTTGAGCGTTGCTTTAGCTCTCAGCAGTGGTCATCACTAGCAGCTTTTGATTCTTCTTTGTAACAGGTGGAATTCCTCCTAAAAGTGGCTTATGCATAAGGACAGTCAAGGGGCCATAGCTTGACAAAATTCTAGATGTACTTCTGACACTCAGAATAGAAGGAGAAATGCTATTGTAGTACTTTTTTTTTTTTTTGTCAATAAAGCATTTTCCCTCTAAGAGAACTCACATTCGAAACAGACATCCACTTTGATCCTATTAGTCAAGTTTAGTTACAAGCCTGATTCTTATACAAACAGAAGCTAGAAAAGGAAAAATTTGGAAAGTTGACTTCCCATGTTAGAGGTGCAGTACAGAAATTTTTATATTCTCCAGCAAGAAAGGAATATGGGCAGGAAAACCCATATATCAACAAAGTGTTCCTTTTCATGTTTCAAGGCAGAATATGATGGTATGGACTTCCTACTGATAATATAATTTTAAGATCATTTGAAAATAAATTATATGAAGTATTAGTAATTTACAGTCTAAAATTTGACTTATATTTTGAATATTCCAGAGTCTGTTGTGGAATATTAGTTTAAGATGTGTTACTTTTGTTTATGCTGTGGAATATTAGTTTAATGATGCAAAGATGTGTTGGATTCTTTCATGTTACATTTGTTTAACTCTGTGAAGCTGTGTTACTGTGCCTGTCTAAAACACCTGAATGGCAGGAGAGAGAAATAGGTGAGGCTTCCAGGCAGAGAAAATAAAAGGAGAAAAAGAAGAGGGAGAAAAAGGATGTGAGGAGGACACCAGAGGCCAGTCACCCAGCAACACAGCCAGACATGAAGCAAGAAGGAAAGAAGGGTATATAGAATAAAGAAAGGTAAAAGCCGAGAGGCAAATGGTAGATGGGATAATTTAAGAAAAGCTGGCTAGAAATAAGCTAGGCTAAGGCTGGGAAGTCATAAGTAAGAATAAGTCTCCATGTATTTATTTGGGAGCTGGGTGTCGAGCCCCCAAAGAACAAAGAGAAAAAAAAAACCATCCCCCCCCAAAGTACAAGAATCACCATTTAATTCAATTCCCTGCTATTATCCACAAAACCCCATTAATGTAATACCTATTACTAATGAATTCAAAAGTAAACAGGTTAAGGGGCTTCTTTTGGAAACAAGGCTCATATTATCATATGTTTTATTCATCTTTACCTTTACATAAGTCATCAATATCCTCAGGCAAAGTTAAGTCAGCACATCGCAGAGAAGATGAAAACAGACTGGCAGGTTTGATAAAGGGGGTGTATAAAGGTGACACTTCACTGAACACCTGGTCCTTCATTAATTCATCTGGAGTTGGCCTTGAGAAAAACAATTTAAAATACTCAGCATGGATAAAAGTCACACAAGTTTCTACAAAATAAAATACACCTACAAAATAAAACAGACCTTCAATGGGGGAGTTAAAAGTCTTAGAGAATTCCTTAGCACAGAGACTAGCAAAGGAGTTCCCGTCAGCAGTCTAGCTCTTGCAATTAAATAATTCACATGTGCTATGCTGTTTGTGCCTTATGTTCTAACAAAAAAATCATTTAATAAACACCCCAAATTCTGCTTGTAATGCTATCCTTTGCCCCTACCATGACTTGATAAAGTGCCTTTACTAATGACAAATTAGAATATATTCTTTTCTAGCATTATACTCAGGAGGCTTAGGAATACCTAGGTAATTAAAAGTGACACCATGAAATGAAAACAAAATGTCAAGGAAATCCTTCTCAATTTTTATCAGTAACTACAAACCTAACATTCTTCCAAGATCAGTGTATAACACCTAATGGCAACAAACTTTTGTTACTGCTCAAATATCATTAGAGCTAAGAGTACTGACATTCCTGGTTAGTTGATTTTCTTTTAAGGCAGGGAGATCAACTGGAAACTTTTTTTGGTATATACCAGCTTTCTGAACATTATTTGACTTCTTTTATAGCAAAAAATTAACTATGAATCACATTTACAATACTAGTATCAACTGTGTACTGTTACATATGCATCTTTCATCCCCTAGTCCATCGGTCTCCTACCAAACACAACATATGCACCTATCATCCCTTAGCCTATCAGTTTCATTCCAAATACTAAATCAACTCTACAGTAAAAGGATTCAGGATAAGCCTAAAGTCTTAAGGAATCACCTCTTAGAAGGATGGAAGGTGAGGCACTTCTTCAAAATATTTATCACATTTTCAGGAAGTTCCTGGTAAATAAAGATAAAAAATAAATGGTCAATTCTAGAAATATATTTTACCAAAATATTTAAATCTCCTAAGCTTTAATTTTAAAAAAAATCTTTATTTTTACTTTATTTAAATATATAGTAATTTGTTACTCTTTGGAAAAAAAAGCCAGCATCTGCAGAGAAATAAGTACAGCTTGAATAGCTTGTCACTGTATCCTGATGTGAAAATACACTTTCATAAACAGATTGCTCTGGTTTGACTTTGCCCCTTCCTAAATTTGGGTCTTGAAACTTAATGCCAGGTAGATGACATTAGGATATGGGCTGCTGGAGTGAACATGCTACTATTATCCTGCCTAATAGACACAGTTTCATATTGCCCTCTAAATTCTCATTTCTTATTAGTGTAAATCTCGGACTGCATCAGAAAACTTTCTTTGTGCAGCAAGTGGTGGTTTAGGCAGACATTCAAAATTATTAAAGTGCACAGAGTAAGCCATATGTCATAAATCCTCTGCAAGGTTCAATGTCCACTGTGGAAAGACTTACAGAGGTTGACAGCTAATAGTTCCTAGTGAAGGGAGAGTCGGTTATTTGTAAGGGTTTGGCTCCTGGTAGATAGCCCATGCTCTTGTGGACAACCTCACATCCAGGAGTATATGGGTCACACAACTGGACTTGATGGGCTATGAAAGAGGGGGCATTAATTTGAAGGGATAGAGAGATTGGGGTTGATCTGAGAAGAGTTTTGGAAAGGAATCGGGGTGAATATGATCAAAACCTTGTAAGAAATTCTGAAGAACATATAAAAATAAACAATAAAGGAGGTGGGCCTGTGAAAGATGGTTAAGTCACAAGGGCCCTCATCTTGGGAATGGAATTTTGATCAGAAACACTTCACACATCCACCACACCCTCTGCCAGCTTGCTTCTCTGCTCTGTGATGACAGTATCCTAGCCTCATCACAAAACCCAGCCTGTGGACACCTTTACCTTGACATTTCCAACCTCAAAAACTGTGAGATGGTAAGTTTTATTCTTTAAAAGTGATCCAGTCTCAGACAGTCTGTTAGAACAGTACAGACAGATGCACAACGAACCTTAATAATGTCCAGACAGCCGTGTTCCTCAGACAGAACTGTTATAGTGTCATCCACACAGCCTAAGAAAAAGGAAAGCCAGATGAGTATGCGCTGCTGTTTAATCTATCCTAACAACCAGGAAAAAAAAAAAAAACAAAACTACAATAAAGCATTTCCTAATCTCATAATGTAGTTTTGGTGCTTAAGTTACTAAATTTTTTTTTTTAAATTAACTTTCCTTACATGTTTTGATAAAACCATAGAGGCTTACCTACTCAATTTAGTTAGGCACAGGTACTAAATATAGTAACTTAAAGATATAGAAGAATTTTCAAAGGCACTGTTGTTTATTGTAGAATATTTGTACACTGTGTGAAGATGTGTTTTTGTGTAATAAAAAGCTGAATGGTCAATATCTAGGCAGAAAAGAATAGGTGGGAGTTCCAGGTAGATCAAGAGAAACTGGGAGATTTCACCAGCAGACACAGAGCAAGTCAGATGTACCATACTAAGAGGAGGTAACTGAGCCACGTAGCAGAACTTAGGTTAATAGAATCAGGTTAACTTGAGTGATAGCTATCTGGTGACAAGCCTAAGGCCAAGCTTTCATAATTAATAAGTCTCTGGGTCATTATTTGCAGGCTGGCGGTCAAAAGACAGTCTGATAAAAGAGCTTGTTTTTTCATGATGACATGAATAATTTATTTGAAGATTTGAAGAATGAGAAGAATGCACCCACACTTTTGTATCTCTGGAGATACAAATTTATCTATTTTTAGATAATAATAAATAAATATTATTTATATCTGGAGATATAAATTTAACTTAAAAAATGCTCCAAATTCCTTGACAGCTGTAGTATCTATTCTTTGTAAAGAATCTGTAGTAGAATATTATTTTAAGGTGTGTGACTTTTGTTTATGTTGTGTTTTTTTAACTCTGTGAAGCTGTGATTCTTTGCCTGTAGAAAACACCTAATGGTTCTAATAAAGAGCTGAACAGCCAATAGCAAGGCAGGAGCCAGGACAGGCAGGGCTAGCAGGCAGAGAGGATAAATAAGAGAAGAAACGAAGAAGAGAGGAGCAAGGAGAGAGTAAGGAGAGGAGGAGGTCAGAGGCCAACCACCCAACCAGCCATGGAGTAAAAAGGAAAGTAAAATATACAAAAGAAAGAAAGATAAAAGCCCAGAGGTAGATGAGTTAATTTATGATAAGAAAAGCTGGCTAGAAACAAGAGAAGTCTGGGTGTTTATAACTAATAATAAGATTCTGTGTGTGATTTATTTGGGAGCTGGGTGGTTGGCCCCACAAACCAAAAGAGTAAAAGAGCAAAACCATTTCAAACAAAAGAATCCATGAATGAGATAAAGTTTTATGCAATTTAGTTAAAATTCATTACTTTTAAGTACTTAACTCTTTCCACAAGTTTTATTATTTATAAACTTTATTGCTGGAATGTTGATGGGTCATTGCTTTATATGAAATAGTCTATCAGTTTTTCTCTTACTACCACACATTTATTTTGCTCTAAATTGGATTACTCATTTGTTACTATAAATTTCAAACACAATATACATAAGCCAATTATAAAGAAAAATGTACATTCTTCCTAAACAACTAGTCACATAAAATGGTAGCTCAAAATTTATATATTGTGTTGGAAGTACAGTTTTAAATCCTATTAGTTTGATTATAGAAGATAGTTTACTTGGCTAAATCATGAAACTAAGATGTCGTCCATGAATAAAGAAAACTGCTACACGTTTTAAAAGTCACTTTTCATGATGCCTTGTGCTGCTTACCTCATCATCAACCTGAAGACAGACATTTCACTGTTCTAGGAGAGTACTTCAAAGCAGATAACAGCTGTTTCTACAGATTATGTTTATAGTTGAATGAATCAAATGCACAAAACTTACCCAAAGTAAGTAAAAATTTTAGTCTTTCAGAAATATCCAAGCTCTGAAACAATTTTCTTCCCTAAGTAATGGGAAAATAAATTCTTATTAATATTTAGAATTTTCTCTCCCCAGGCATCTTTTTGTGCCCTAACCAAAGATGATTTTATTTTCCTTACATTTATCACCAGAGTTTTATTGATTTAGATTCAGCTTGACCACAAAGAGCTACTGTTAACATTTTTAAAAGAGTTGTATAATATTTATTATGTAAGCCATCTACATCTAATTATCATTAGATACAAATGGTATCTCAAAGCACTGATCACTTTTGAGAACCACACATTATCAAATGTATTGTTTTAGTAAAAAAACAGAGATGGTCCTGGAAGTTTACCCCCCAGAATCCTTATTTATATATCATGTTTAAGTAATCTATTGTTTGCATTGTTAACCAACCACAGCAGTTCCTCTTCCTTTCAAGCAACTTCAGATTGGCATTCTGTGTGTTCCAATAGCACCTGAGTTTTTATGTTGTTTTTGCTGCTTTGGGGACTGGGGACTGAGCCCAGACCTCAAGTATGCTAGATAGTACAGTTGCTAGACCAGCATGAACACTATGTTCCATCCCTAGCACTTTCATACTCCTATTTTAAGACAGTCTTTCAGTCTGGCCTCAAACGTGGTTCTTCCTAGCTCAGCCTCCAGAACAGCCCATATTACAGGCTGTTTGAAGATACACATTACAGCAGACAACAGCAGCCAGATCCAGTGAGTGACCCAACTGCCAGCTGAACCGCACCCTTTCCTGGATTCTGTGCTCCCCTCACAGCCCTTCCCCAGACTCAAGCCTTCTCAGCTACTTCCCATCTTCCTGCTGGGCACTGTCATCAACCCTAGGGGACTTCCACCACCAAGGAGCATACCACACCAGCCACAACCAGTGAGTGGTTCTCCTGTCCTGTGCCAGCCCTGTCCTATCTCAGCATCAGCACCACTGCAGGCCCTGACCTCAACCCCAAAAGGAATCCCACTGCTCTGGTGCAGCCCTCACCAGAGGGCTGTGAGTGACAAGCCTGGCAGCTAGACTGCAGCCACGCCCTGGATTCCAAGCCCCTGAGACCTACAGTGCTGCCCAGACCTTCCCACCTCACTATCCTCCCACAGCCTGCACTTCCCTGAGCTCCCACAGAATCCCCAGGCCCAGACAGTCCACACAAGTTAGAACAGACACCACAGACCCAGACAGTCCACACAAGTTAGAACAGACACCACAGACCCAGGTACAGTCCACATGAGATGGAAATGCACCCCAGAAGCTCTACTAGAGGCCAGGCTGGCCCTAAGTACCCTACAAAAGACTCGGGCTTTACTGGAGGTCAGACCAGATCAAGGGACCCAAGGCCCCCTAAATCCCAGAGGAGACCTAGACCTGAAGACTCACCAGTCACTAGAACCCTTGGCTATTTAAGCAAGAGGAACAGAGAAGAAACAGAAACCAAGGAACAAAACACCACCCAACAAAGAGAAACAGAAATCACCACCCAGACCTATAATCATCCCAAATCCAGATGCCTAAATGCCAGGGTAAGAACACAATGAGTAACAGAAAGGGTGTGCTCACAACCATCTGTAATAAAATGTGAGCCACCATGTGGTTTCTGGGAATTGGACTCAGGACCTCTGGAAGAGCAGCCTGTGCTCTTAACCACTGAGACATCTCTCCTGAATGAAGGTTGGGATTTTAATTGTGAGTATTGGCATATAACTAGCTCTAGCACCTGGAAGAGAAGGAAAAGTGTTTGGAATTCAAGATCAGCTTCAGTCATGAAAAATGTTTGAAGCCAACCTGGGTTACAGTGAAACCCTTTCTAAAAAACAAAACAAAATGAAACACAAACTAACAATAACATCATTAACATTACATCACACAGCTATGAAGTGTAACACCAGACTTAACCCAGATTTGCAGATTTTCTTATTTCTATCTCATTAGATCTCAAATATACAAAATAAAAAAAAGTCAAACTAATTCTCAGCAATAAGGATAAACCAGTTACCTCAGATGGCAGAAACAAAACGGATGGGTGTTTTACGAGTATGTCAGTGCTATGACAAAGTATCTGTGACATCAATACAGAAGTCGAAAAGATTTAAGTTTTGCTCACTATTCCTGAGATTTCAGTTCATGCTTGAACTGTTCCAAGGCTTTGGGCCTGAGGTAAGACAAAATATCATGGCAGCAGGACCATGCAATAGAGGAGGATGCTGTCACCTTATGGCAGTCAGGAAGCAATACAGGGGGGAGGGGTGGAGGGTACCAGGGGCAAGATTCCTTCAAAGGCCTGCAACCAGTTACTTATTTTATACAATTAGTAAAAGTCTAAACATATTGAGAAATACCAAGATAAAAATGTAAAAAAGAATCTGGGAAGGAGAACTGGAGAGATCAACAGTTTAAAGCACTGATGCTCTTGCAGAGGACCCTGGTTTGGTTCCTAGCACCCATGGAAGCTTACAACCATCTGTAACTCCAGGTTAGGAGGATTCAATGCACCCTTCTGGTCTCTGTGGGCACCAGGCACACATAGTACATCACATACATATACTTATACATGCTATCTATCTATCTATCTATCTATCTATCTATCTATCTATCTGATCAAATAGAAAGCAAGTCAAATTGAGAAATAAGCCTTTTCCATTTATATCTAATCATTTTGCACAGAAAAAAGTATTTCATTATATAAACTTTCTCTCTAAAAGGCAAATTTCAATAAACACACAAAATCTTTTATTAGTTTAATACTTCTTTATACATACCACACAAAGCTCAAATAAAATTATTCCAAGAGACCATACATCTGATTTGGGGCCAGAAGGCAATGGTTTTTCACTTGGCACATGATCAGTAGTTTTGAAAATTCCTTGTGCAATTACCTCAGGTGCCAGATATGACGGATAGCTGTAACACATGTGAAAATAACAAATTATGATGAGAGACAATGGTGACAGAAACAGTAGCACATTCTTACAGTTAGCACATAAGATGTAAAAATCCCACACAATTAAATCCACAGTAATTACTAGAAAGAATCTTGAACTAATTACAGAAAGACAGGTCTTTATGTCTAGGAATTGAAACTGAACATACAGGAGTCCTAAATAATTTTTAAAACATATCTCTCCGGGACATCAGTTTAGTTTCTTGCTCTTCACTGTAATTATATCATGTTGTATTACAGTCTCTAGGATTCCAAGAGCTTTTCCTTCATCCTGCCACTGATCATCTTCTAATGATGAACTGTTTCATCATTTGACCCTTGAATATGTATTATTTTCAGCAGTGTCTTACTTTGATGTTGCTGTGATAAAACACTAGTGAAAATGCCATTTTACCATTAAACACCACCAATGAGGAAAGTCAGAGAAGAAAGAAGTTCAAGCACGAACTGAAGTAGAGTTCAGGGAGTGAAGCGGCCTACTGACTTGCTCAGCTTGCTTTTCTTTAGCAAGACTGTTAGTATTCAGGCATCTGTACTGGCCTGTCCTTGAGGTTCACAGGATATGTGCTCAGCTGCAGTCACTAAGAGCACAACCTGTGCATATTCACTCTGTTCCCTTTTAAATCTATCGCCATGCACAAAACTTAAGTCCAAATGGAAAAAGACCTCAGCATAAACCCAGCCACACTGAACCTCTTAGAAGAGAAAGTGCGAAGTACCCTGGAACAAATCGGTACAGGAGACTGCTTCTTGAACATAACACCAGTAGCACAGACACTGAGATTGACAATTAATAAAAGGCACTTCCTGAAACTGAGAAGCTTCTGTAAGGCAAAGGACACAGTCAACAAAACAAAACGGCAGCCCACAGACTGGGAAAAGATATTCACCAACCCCACATCAGACAGAGGGCTGATCTCCAAAATATACAAAGAACTCAAGAAG